CTGAAATAATAATAATAATAATGAACCAAAAGCAGACACAGAATTATCCTTGCTATACCATTAAGTGGAAACAAGATGAGTAAAACTCAGATAGACTGGTTGATGGGAGTTGTTCAAGGTCATCCACCTAGTTGAAAAGCATCACAGAGAATTCTGGGGACTCCCTTCTTGGGCAAAGCTGTTCCTCAGTAGTTCTACAGATGGACCCATAATGCTGCTATGAACAATCAAGTACATGTTTTTTGTGCAAATATTTTTATATTTTCTTGGGTCTATATTAATACCTAGCAGTGGAATTGCTGGATAATGTGGTAACTCTTTGTTTAAACACTTGCACTGCTGCACTGTTTTCCAAACATGCTACAGCTTTTCCATTTCTACCAGCAGAGTCAATATTCTATCTTACTACCCACCCAGGAAATGAGAAGGACAAACCTCACATTGAGGATGTGTTAAGAGGAGCTCAGGGTGTATGAAAATTAATCCAAGGGAGCTTTGAGATGTTCATTAAACACTTCTTAAAGGTTTCATCGTCTTACCAAACCTGGGTACATGTGTTTTTATCCCTGGTGGATGCCAACTCACTCCCAAGGTTGCTCAGAGGAAAGGACGGGCTGTGGAGATAGAAAAGTTTGGTTGGATAAGGAAGAATTTGCTCAAGACATAAACTAGGGAGAACAGATCAGAATGAAAGACGGAGAGCTGAAGAATGTGAAACAAAAACTTTCTGCGGGAAGAACAGAAAACTTGAGCAAAAATTCCCTTGTCGTCATACAGTGTGTCTGTCTTGAGGATCTCGGACATAATGACTAGTTCTGAATGTGAAAGGACTGAGCAGGGACATCTATTCCTCTCACTAGTTCACTTGTCATAACTCCTCACGTAGAGTAGGATCATCTTGAGAAATTAGATATTTTATGTTTTTGCTTTTGTTAATGGATGAGCACTATGTGTTAATCTCAAACAAGAGAGAGTGGAAATAAATTGAGGGATCAAAATATAAGTGTATATGCACATATTTATCTATTTTTTGTTAAGCCTGTGTAAATCTATAATTTTGAATTTCAAAGTCAAGAAAAATATTGGACATTACATTTACCATAAATTTAGTATGATGGCAAAAGTTATTCCCCTTCCATTCTGCTTCCTATTTTTGCATGAGTAACATTGTCATTGTATACACAGATTACTTTATTAGCATCAAATTGTATTGCATTACATACTTTATATTTATGGAATGAATCCCACAAAATAACATTGAATTTGTTAACAGAATTTCAACCTAGGTAGATTAACTTTCAGATTTTGGTGATTTTTATTCTCCCCAACAGCCTTTTATGATCACAAACCACAGTTTCCTCTTGTTGAGCACTCCGATTGATTTCAACTCTTGGTCAGCTGAAATAAATATTTCAGGGTGTCTATTTTTAAAACTGATTGTGTATATTATGATTTTTGTAGTTTCAAAGTAAAAATATTCTTCATATTTGATATTTTAGTTCAGCATAAAATGCATAGATTATAATTTCTGTATTTTCTCAAAACTTTGTATTTTTTAAGATACCAATACATTTATTACTGGAAGATACTTTTGCAGACTGGGACTCTGAAGCAAGCCTGATTTTTATCTGTGAAAAAAAGAATCCTTAGGGCTTTTGGATTACTGATTTATTTAATTTTAGACAGAGTCTCCCTCTGTTGTCCCAAGTAGATCGCAGTGGCGTGATCATAACTCCCTGCAACATCAAATTCCTGGTCTCAAGCAATCCTCCTGCCTAAGCCTCCCAGGTATGTGGGACTACAGCTGTGTGCAACCACACCTGGGAAAATTTTCTATTTTTTGTAGAGATGGTATCTCACTCTTGCTCAGGTTGATCTCGAACTCCTGAACTCAAGCAATTCTCCCTCCTTGGTCTCCCAGATTGCTAGGATTATAGGCATGAAACAACATACCTTGCCTGATATATATATATATATATATATATATATATATATATATATATATTTAATGTAGCAAAGTATTTGTGTGTTTTCTCATTTTATAATTGTTTGACTAGAATTGTATGACACATTGAAATGTAATTGTTGCCAGCTAATAGCAGAAAATACCTGTGAATGGTTGTGTGTGTGTCTGTGTGTATGTATGTGTGTGTATGTGAGTTTTTTTTTTTTCCTCTTTTCTGTAAGGCTGGCTTATCAGGGCCTTTGGGATGTGGTCTTGTAGGAAATGAGATGTTAAGCTCATACCCATGCTGTCCGCTCAGGGGTGCTCAAGGATGTGAAAACAATTCTCAAATAAAACTACAGGTGGTAATGAAATAAGAGGCTATTGTGCTGTGATATTTCTCTTCAAGATGACAATTATATGCTGTGAGTTTATTCCTGTCTTTATGTCAGATAATTTATTAGCAAGGCCGTCCTATCAGTACATATCCATAAAGAAATTCACTGAAGCACTGTTCTGAATTATATGCAAAATATTGAAAACATCCAAAATGTCCACACAAAAAATTGTGGTTGAAAAACTATGGCAACTCGACACAACAGAGTGACTTGCAGTTGTATAATAAGGACGAAGATCTCCATGAAGTGATGTGGAGTGATTGCTAGGGTATATATAATATTATTAAATGATAATAGTAAAATGCAAACACGAATCTATACTATGTTATTATTCTTGTAAACAAGCAGGGGAGATTCCTCAAACAAACAAACAAAACTGGGTGTGAAAACCAGAGTTCGCTGGGAAGGGTAAGTGGGAGGGAGTTGTTGAGGGAGGAGCATGGAGACAGGAGAGGGGATTAGACATGTGTCACATGTGTCCCCTCTCTGAGTACACCTTTACCGATTGCGTATATTTGTGTCTTTGGGGACTGTATTAATATGACGCACATTCTATTCAAATAAATACCTGAAATCAACAAAGGTAAGAGAAATCTAGATGGAGTACAAACAAAAGAAAACGAAACTAAATGTACTACAAATCAATGAAAAAAATAACCAGGGGAATGATTGGGAAAGAAAGTACAAATGTAAGTAACATTGCAATTCATTCTTTTGACTATTGCCAATAGGCCTCAAGACAATGGAACTGTGAATAAAAATAGTACTTGAGTGAGTAGCTCTGATTTCTCAGTGGTATGGGTATCTGTGTGTGCACATTTTCCTTTCTTCTTCCCCAGTGATGGCTCCATTGGATTTTCTTCATGCGTTTAGAACCAGGTATCTGTGTGGTCGGACAGGAAGCGCAGTTCCAAGGCCACCCCTGTCCACCACGTGACCTGTGGCCTCTGCCAGCTCCATCTGCTGTGCTTCTGAATAAATACACCCGGCAGCATTCACTGGTCTTTCCTAGAAATTATACAAGGTTTAAAAATGAAATTCTCAGCATATTATTGGGGTACAGATGTTTAGGTTACATATATCGCCTTTGCCCGACCTGAAAATAAAAAATTAAAAAAAATTTTAAAAAGTAATTCTCTCTTTTTCTTGGTTGTCTTCCTTCTCTTTCATCATGTTTAAACTTAGCATGTAGCAAAGTGTCTATGTCAGAGGTGGGGCGCAATACATATTTGTGCAAAAATGGATAAAAAGGAAGTGATGTTTCATCTTTCCAAGAGAAACTCTGGAATCAGAGAGAAGCTAGGTGAGCACTGAGCTAGTCTCTCCAATGATTTTTGTGAGTTTATGTGGTGACAAATGGACATATGTGAGGGACCCTTGCCAGGCCCCAAATAATGCAGAATGATGGCCTGGTTTTATGGAACCACAAGCAAAGTAGCCAACAATAGTGACACTGCTTCGATCTGTCATAACCTTGTAATCAAAACAGATTTAAAGCAAAAATGTTTACCTTTCGTATATTATGAGTTTAAAGCACACAATATCCGTATGTATTTGGTTATAGAAAAAAATAGAAAAGGATGGGAATGGGCCCCCCTGCATAATACACTACAGGCCGCCCATCGTGGCTGAGATTACTAAATGGCATGATGTTATTCTAACCATAAAGGAAGGCTTGAAACAAGTTTCCTGTGCAGCCACAGTCTGTCTCCAAGGAACCCCCATGGAGTTGAA